GACTCGTTGATTCTACTTCCGGAATCAGAGATTCTCATGATTCTTCCAAAACGTATCTCGTCATATGTACACGAAAATGGCGAAATCTTCTTGACAATTTAAGAGCATCGATAATAAATAATGTAAACTAATGTCCTATTGCAAATAAAGTTTATATCGACTAAACAGAGGAATGAAAAATCATATTGCACTTACATTTACGCAATATGAAACCCGTTCAATATCCTTCATGGCGCGCACACGCCATTCCGCTGTCGCCACAGTTGACAGACACAGGTATACGACTTTATGTTTGTCCTGCATATAGTAAAATATGGGCCTAATGTAATGACATAGGTCATTCAATAATATCCTCCACATCCTGATCAGTATATCACGCATCCTGTATAGCAAGAGATGAAAACAGCTGCAACCGAAGGATACAATTATATTCTGCATGTTTGGTTCCATCCTATAGTGATATAGGTAATAAAAACCTCCAACTCGCTAGAGTTGCGCCCCTTAGATGCCTGGATCTGCTTATCGAATCCATAAATATCGTATTTGTCGGTTCATAACGGCGTAACAAATAGACATGTATTATAGTATAGTGTTTTATGCAAATGGACTGTGCATAAGCTCAAACCGCCTCTGCAAGAATCTATACTCCTGTATGAAACAGGCAACCGTGACCACTGCATGGATACATGTGTGTCTAAATTAATATTAAAAACATCGATCCTATTTTACTATTCTATATATTTATTCAAACAGGACACTTAATGACATAATTTTTTTACGACTTCTATTATATGCCAAAAAATACCCATTTCCGAGAGGAAATAAAGACTTCAAGAATGCAATCCATATTTATAATATACCTGTCATGAAAAATAACGTGAATATGTGTTTCTAATATTCATGTGCAGTAATGCACGTCGTGCACAAATATTTCGTTATTACCAATTTCCCTCTTTTTGTGACTGATTATTAAAGATATGAACATGCATATCGCCAGGATAAATGCAGGAAATTGTGTATTTTAACATCTTTTCACTGGACTTTTCTCAGATGACATTTGTCTGAATGTCGAGGAATCGCCCAGGTACCAACGCCGTCCCATCACTTCATTTGTCTCGAACACTGGTAAGGACGCAATCCTTTCTTCATCGTTTCCTTTTCGAAGATCATTTGTATGTTGTCCACTACACGTGTGATAATCTGGTACATAAAATAATATTTCAAAACCTTTATTCTTTCATGTAAGATATATTTAGTGGGATGAAAAGGAGTTTATTGTCGCCTTCAATATTATTGCATTTATGTAGTGACGTTTGTTTGTTTGTTTGTTTGATGTTTGATGCCGAGCTCAGCAATATTCCAGCTATATGATGGCGGTCTGTAAATAATCGAGTCTGGACCAGACAATCCAGTGATTGATATCATGAGCATCGATCCACGCAATTGGGATCGATGACATGAATCAACCAAGTCAGCGAGCCTGACCACCCGATCCCGTTAGTCGCCTCTTACAACAAGTGTATGTAGCGACGTACATGCACGTGTAGGAGCTTGTAATGTCCAGGATTATGTCCAGTGTTAAAGTGCGGGAGTTACGCCAGTCGTAAATCTGTGTTAAGTATGTTATCAGATACGTCAGTCACGTCGGCAGTGTTAAAGTGTGTGAGTTACGCCAGCCATAAGTCTATGTTAAGTATGCAATCAGATATGCCAGTGACACCGGCAGTGTTAAAGTGCGGGAGGTACGCCAGTCGTAAGTCTATGTTAAGTATGCAATCAGATATGCCAGTGACACCGGCAGTGTTAAAGTGCGGGAGTTACGCCAGTCGTAAGTCTATGTTAAGTATGAAATCAGATATGCCAGTGACACCGGCAGTGTTAAAGTGCGGGAGTTACGCCAGTCGTAAGTCTATGTTAAGTATGCAATCAGATATCCCAGTGACACCGGCAGTGTTAAAGTGCGGGAGTTACGCCAGTCGTAAGTCTATGTTAAGTATGCAATCATATATCCCAGTGACACCGGCAGTGTTAAAGTGCGGGAGTTACGCCAGTCGTAAGTCTATGTTAAGTATGTTATCAGATATGCCAGTGACACCGGCAGTGTTAAAGTGTGTGAGTTACGCCAGCCGTAAGTCTATGTTAAGTATGCAATCAGATATCCCAGTGACACCGGCAGTGTTAAAGTGCGGGAGTTACGCCAGTCGTAAGTCTATGTTAAGTATGTTATCAGATATGCGAGTGACACCGGCAGTGTTAAAGTGTGTGAGTTACGCCAGCCGTAAGTCTATGTTAAGTATGCAATCAGATATGCCAGTGACACCGGCAGTGTTAAAGTGCGGGAGTTACGCCAGTCGTAAGTCTATGTTAAGTATGCAATCAGATATCCCAGTGACACCGGCAGTGTTAAAGTGCGGGAGTTACGCCAGTCGTAAGTCTATGTTAAGTATGCAATCAGATATCCCAGTGACACCGGCAGTGTTAAAGTGCGGGAGTTACGCCAGCCGTAAGTCTATGTTAAGTATGCAATCAGATATCCCAGTGACACCGGCAGTGTTAAAGTGCGGGAGTTACGCCAGTCGTAAGTCTATGTTAAGTATGTTATCAGATATGCGAGTGACACCGGCAGTGTTAAAGTGCGGGAGTTACGCCAGTCGTAAGTCTATGTTAAGTATGTTATCAGATATGCCAGTGACACCGGCAGTGTTAAAGTGCGGGAGTTACGCCAGCCGTAAGTCTATGTTAAGTATGCAATCAGATATCCCAGTGACACCGGCAGTGTTAAAGTGCGGGAGTTACGCCAGCCGTAAGTCTATGTTAAGTATGTTATCAGATATGCCAGTGACACCGGCAGTGTTAAAGTGTGTGAGTTACGCCAGCCGTAAGTCTATGTTAAGTATGCAATCAGATATCCCAGTGACACCGGCAGTGTTAAAGTGCGGGAGTTACGCCAGTCGTAAGTCTATGTTAAGTATGTTATCAGATATGCGAGTGACACCGGCAGTGTTAAAGTGTGTGAGTTACGCCAGCCGTAAGTCTATGTTAAGTATGCAATCAGATATGCCAGTGACACCGGCAGTGTTAAAGTGCGGGAGTTACGCCAGTCGTAAGTCTATGTTAAGTATGCAATCAGATATCCCAGTGACACCGGCAGTGTTAAAGTGCGGGAGTTACGCCAGCCGTAAGTCTATGTTAAGTATGTTATCAGATATGCCAGTGACACCGGCAGTGTTAAAGTGTGTGAGTTACGCCAGCCGTAAGTCTATGTTAAGTATGCAATCAGATATCCCAGTGACACCGGCAGTGTTAAAGTGCGGGAGTTACGCCAGTCGTAAGTCTATGTTAAGTATGTTATCAGATATGCGAGTGACACCGGCAGTGTTAAAGTGTGTGAGTTACGCCAGCCGTAAGTCTATGTTAAGTATGCAATCAGATATGCCAGTGACACCGGCAGTGTTAAAGTGCGGGAGTTACGCCAGTCGTAAGTCTATGTTAAGTATGCAATCAGATATCCCAGTGACACCGGCAGTGTTAAAGTGCGGGAGTTACGCCAGTCGTAAGTCTATGTTAAGTATGCAATCAGATATCCCAGTGACACCGGCAGTGTTAAAGTGCGGGAGTTACGCCAGCCGTAAGTCTATGTTAAGTATGCAATCAGATATCCCAGTGACACCGGCAGTGTTAAAGTGCGGGAGTTACGCCAGTCGTAAGTCTATGTTAAGTATGTTATCAGATATGCGAGTGACACCGGCAGTGTTAAAGTGCGGGAGTTACGCCAGGCGTAAGTCTATGTTAAGTATGTTATCAGATATGCCAGTGACACCGGCAGTGTTAAAGTGCGGGAGTTACGCCAGCCGTAAGTCTATGTTAAGTATGCAATCAGATATCCCAGTGACACCGGCAGTGTTAAAGTGCGGGAGTTACGCCAGTCGTAAGTCTATGTTAAGTATGTTATCAGATATGCCAGTGACACCGGCAGTGTTAAAGTGTGTGAGTTACGCCAGCCGTAAGTCTATGTTAAGTATGCAATCAGATATCCCAGTGACACCGGCAGTGTTAAAGTGCGGGAGTTACGCCAGTCGTAAGTCTATGTTAAGTATGTTATCAGATATGCGAGTGACACCGGCAGTGTTAAAGTGTGTGAGTTACGCCAGCCGTAAGTCTATGTTAAGTATGCAATCAGATATGCCAGTGACACCGGCAGTGTTAAAGTGCGGGAGTTACGCCAGTCGTAAGTCTATGTTAAGTATGCAATCAGATATCCCAGTGACACCGGCAGTGTTAAAGTGCGAGAGTTACGCCAGTCGTAAGTCTATGTTAAGTATGCAATCAGATATCCCAGTGACACCGGCAGTGTTAAAGTGCGGGAGTTACGCCAGCCGTAAGTCTATGTTAAGTATGCAATCAGATATCCCAGTGACACCGGCAGTGTTAAAGTGCGGGAGTTACGCCAGTCGTAAGTCTATGTTAAGTATGTTATCAGATATGCGAGTGACACCGGCAGTGTTAAAGTGCGGGAGTTACGCCAGTCGTAAGTCTATGTTAAGTATGTTATCAGATATGCCAGTGACACCGGCAGTGTTAAAGTGCGGGAGTTACGCCAGTCGTAAGTCTATGTTAAGTGTGTAATCAGATACCCCAGTCATACCGGCTATGTTGAAGTGTTGGAGTTACGCCAGTCGCAACACTTTACAGGAACCAGATTCGGCTAGAATCATTCACGGGGAGTTTCTAATCAAAGAAATCTACGAATATACTATGTCAAACTATCAAAGTTACAGATATTTCGTTTACAACAACAAAATAAGTGGAAAAGAAAAACAACCTCATAGAAATAACAGACGTTAACTAGTCGGATTCTGCAACAATTCAGCACTAGCTCGCTTCAATACTTCCCGAACCCACCGGTTCAAGTACAGCGCTATCACATACCATTCCTCTGATTCCAGAAGCTATTGTGCTATAGCGCTTCTGGTTTTTCTCGTTAGATCTGCTACCATTGATTGCCGAGCACACACTAGCATAGAAACAGCCCCGACTGCCACTCGTCGTGTATGTATGTCACCGTTAAGAAGCAATGTAGGGATAGTACGTTGTAGAATTCTTCGAGTGGAGAAGTTATCCAGGACCCTAGTATGATCGTTAAGGTAAGATTGGTTTTAATTCATGTTGATTAGTTCAATTGTTGACGTATATATCATAGGGCATGTATCCAATGAACATTTGGTGGAATGAAGGCTTGTACACTGTATCGGAAGTATTGGTAAGGAAGGGGTATAGCTTTGTTAACAGAACAAACTGATTTCATCCAGTGATGCAATATTTGGTGTTTATATCATGTTATAGCATCATGCTTCATGTTTATATAATGTTACAACATGCTATATGTATGTTCGGGAATATGATATTTCATTTATTGATTAATAGTGAAAACGAGATGAAATAGGGTTTAATGTCGCGTTCACAATATTGTACTTATATAGCGGCGTGCATGCGCGTGTGTGGCTGCTTTTACTGGTCCAGACTGATGCCGGTTTTATTGTGCTAGCCCACTGAGATTCCATGCGGCAGTTTAACATGGATATCCCACTCAGACTCCGGGCCGACTTGTCCTTGTTTTATCCTCTAAAAGCGTGCCAGGCAGGGTAACAATAAGGACCACCCGTTAACGTCTTTTGGTATGTCACGGCCAGAGGATCGAACCACCGACGACCCGCTCTCAAGGAACATGTTCTATCCACTACACCGGTCGGTCGATTCACAATGAAACCCGGACAAAACACAAAAGCGGCTGATATAAATTGATAACTATAGTAACCATATTTCATTTATGACAATCAAAACCTGTTCTGAATAGCACATGTGAGCATTTATCAGTACAACTCGCTTGTGGGTAGATATTCGCAATGGCTTGAATAAGAGGGTAGTATACAGCGCTACTGTTGGTATTTCGCTTTATAACAAACATTCTTCGTCCACCATACGACGAGCGTGTTTGATTGTATTAATTTGCGTCCTCAGCCAATGCCCCAAGGACGGCATCCCACGAGCGTAGTAGGGGTTGACGGTGCTTCATATTCATTGTACAGCTCTTTTCTACATGGCCTATCATCCAGCATCCTTTAGCATTGGTGGCCGGCTTAGAACAGGTCCCCTTTGTTTGCCACACGAGGTGACCAATAGAATCGGGTGGTCAGGCTCAGCGACTTGGTTGGAAGCTTGTCATCTGCACTTCCTGCGTCGTTATTCACAATGTCTATCACAGGACTGTCTGGTCCAGACTCGATTATGTACCATCCACTGTATTACAGCGTGCGGCGTAAAACAACAAGCATACAAACAAACCAAAAAAAACAAAAAAACAAAGGAACATTGCTGGAATAAAATTCCATGTGTACAACGATATACCAATTTATCAGAGAGTTAAAATCGCATAAACAATATTGTAACCCTCCGCAGCGGAGGTGCTTAGTTCGTGTACGTGCACAGGCAAAATAGAGAGGGATTATGGCAGAAGTAGTTCCCTCTGCAGACATCTGTCACCAGGGTTAATCTATGTATCTCATCGCGAGACTGTCTTCCTCTGATAGTATTTGCCGCTATTGCTGTACAGAGTGTAACCTCGTAAATCTGGACACTGTGTAAAGGATATGTATTGTGAAGGTTACAATCAACGTAATACCGCGACCTTGTAATTGTCAAAGGATACCATGAGCGTATCCTGTGCTATCGGTGGCCCCCGTCACACACATGCGAAGGCAAGTCAAGTATTACCAGATGCACCGCAAGCATCTATGAAGAGTTACGTCCCTTAGAGGTACCAGGATCGTATGATTATGGATTTAAATTCTAAATTCGCGCTGATTATAATTCTTGGATTTTCAGTGTGGGTTTCATCAAAGTTGCAAACGTCAAGACCTGCATCTTGCTGAACAGCAACGTCTTTATAAACATACCTGTATTACTGTTCCAAGCGGCGTAAACACTCACTCCTGAATTCTTGTTCATGTTCAATGCCTGGCGGTCAATGTTCAGGAACTGATGGATCTGAAAATCATTTTGTAGAAAGGCAATGAGGGTACGGATGAACACATGTTACAGCATGAATACTGCCGGTGAATGTATTGTGCCTCAGTCCTATCCGTGTTAGGAATTGAGTATGATTTTCGAATGAAGATTTTTACGTTCGGGATTAAGACTTTTACCGGTTATTACCAAACACTGACATAATTGCCCCTGACGTATTATGGAACGTTTGTTATGTAACACCGCAAATAGCAATATTCCAACTATTTGACGGCGGTTTGTAAATAATCTAGTCTGAACCAGATAATCCAGTGATTGATATCATGAACATCGATCTATGCAATTGGGATACAATGACATGCATCAACCAAGTCAGCAACCCTGACCACCCGAACCCGTTAGTCGCATCTTACGACAAGCAGGGGTTGCTGAAGATCACTTCTAACCCGGATCTTCACGGATAATATCTGTGTTATACAGATGGGGTAGCCTAGTGGTTGAATCGTTCGCTCGTCACACCGAAATCCCGGGTTCGATTCCACACATGGATACAATGTGCGAACCCGATTTCTGATGTACCTGGCAGTTATGTTATTGGAATATTTCTTAAAGCGCTCATATCGCTGTCCAAACACTCCTCATGTTTCCAAGACGCCCCCAAGACGCTTCCAAGACGTTTAACAAATGGTGATGCCACGGCTTAAGTTCGCTTAAAGTCGGCTTAAGCTACAAGCCAGGTTTGGGGATCTCAATGTAGATCGTCGTGTGAAGAATCATGTCCATACAACCATTTGTAGGCAATTTATTCTCCTGGCAATGCATATTAAATGATAATTGATCTATAGATGTTTCATCGGCAGACTATAATTGTGGTTTGGGTTGAGTTGTTAGAGGCACAAGACGGTAGACATTTTTGCAAAGTGTGAGTTTAATTGACATGTGTGTTAATTGTAAGAACGCCAGTAGATATTTATGGCAATGTCTGTGGTTTGACCAGTTTATCGTAAGCATGCGGCGATATTAATGGCAATGATTGTGAGTTTAATTGACTCGTGAGTTGATTGCAAGCACACGTCAGTAGATATTTATGGCAATGACAGTGGTGTGACGAGTTTATCGTAAGCATGCAGCGATATTAATAGCAATGTGTGGGTTTGATTGACCCGTGAGTTGATTGTAAGCACACGTCAGTAGATATTTATGGCAATGACGGTGACATGACTTTAGTTCACTGCAAGCATGCGGCGATATGTGCAGCAATGGTTGAGGTAGACGATAAGTAGATTGTTGGCGTGTACTGTACACACTTCAACACGTGACCCTCTGAAGTGCATCTCCCCCTTTGTCTCCTGTTGAAGCCTGTGGAGGTTTAGCAAGTCTGTTCCTTGGTGTCTTATTCTGCCCAAATGAACTTCAAATATCATGAGCGGACATGTATCTGGACCGTGGGGAGTTCTTTTCTCGGCCGACCCCGCGGGTTCATTCTGTGATGTAATCTGCGTGTCAACCGTCTGCGGAGATAGTTTTTGGCAGCCTATCAATCAAGTCCTAGATATCGTAATGTCTCGTTCTGACAGCTGACGGTGTAAAACGCATGGTTATGACATCATATCGGGCAGATAGTATTCAGATAACTTTTGTGTTTTTATTGAAACAGTCCATGTTCAGGGTGGTGCACGGGTAATATCTGTGTTATATAGGATAGATGGGCTAGTCTAGTGGTTAAAGCGTTCGCTCCTCACACTTAAGGCCCGGGTTCGATTCCCACATGGGTATAATACGTGAAGCCTATTTCTGGTGCCCCCGCAGTGATATTCATGAATATTGCTAAATGCGGCGTAAAACACACCCAAGTTGTCAGATTTGAAGAGGAGGGTTGTGAGTGAGTGAGTGAGTATTGTTTTACGCCGCTTTTTGCAATATTCCAGCAATATCACGGCGGGGGACACCAGAAATGGGCTTCACACATTGTACCCATGTCGGGAATCGAACCCGGGTCTTCGGCGTGACGAGCGATCGCTTTAACCACAAGGCCACCCGACCGCCCCTGGAGGGTTGTGGTGTGGGTGAGATGCCTGAGTTAGATTGGGACTGTTGCTCCCCTGGACAGTACTTCAGTAATATCACGACGTGTCAGCTTAATGTGGGTGGAAAGCCCGAAGTCATGTAGGTATTACTTCTAAGCCCACGAGCACGGGTATGGTGTTTATTGACCAACGATCATTATCCGGATGAAGTTGGGATTCGAACTCATCACAAGCACCTTAGACCACTGGACCGCGATTACTGTCAATCAAAAAACAATTAAATAAATTATCACTGTCGAAGCCCTATATGTTGAACCCCTTTATATCCCTACATTTTTTCATCCCGATTGTCGGAACCCTAGGAATCCCTCGTAAACTCGTTTGGTTCAGAGCTCTTTGTTCAGGGATGCGATTAGTACGTGCGTATTCTGAACTTCATTGTAGAAGGTAAAAGGTGACAGCTGAATTTGATAACTTGATTAAAATGTGTTTCTTCATCAAAATGAAAACAACTTTCAAAGCGAACGACAGTTAGACCTTAGAAGATGATGTATAATTTATCAAAACACGTGTTCATTCCGTGGTTAATGACAAAAAACGGCATTAAACATGTATGACTGACAATAGTGAGTGCAGAACGAAGTTCGTGGTTCGGATACGTTTTCCGATATTTGAGTGTTGTATTTATATTTCATTCAGATTTTCATGGAAATACAAGTATGTGAAAGTACACGGGTTGGTGCTGATTTCCCAACGAATCAGTGATTCCAACCCCAAATCATAAGATCCTGGTGCCCCTAGGGGACCCAACTCTGCACAATGAAGTGCGATGACAATTGGGCCTCCCCTTCAACCAGGAACAAGAGGATATTAAGAGTACGGATGTATTACACCAGTCAGAAACGATACCCAGGATCACTATCTAAATCGTCAGGGTTAACATATTGTCGGTGTAACGAATCATGACAGCTTCTCACTGCCACGGCAATACATAATAACTTTCCCGAGAACGTCGGGACTAGTTTTTTTCTCTGTACGTGTGTTCATTTCGAAATTGTACCAGTGAAAGGGTATAGTGTGGATGAAATGTACAT